TATTTATTTTGTTTTTTTCTCGCTCAGAATCGTGTAAAATGCTGTAGTAGAAAACAGAACTAGAAAACAGACTAAACCCTGCATGTCACACGTCAGGCTACACTTGACCATTTCAGCAGTAGAGTATTAACGTGTGAGCTCATAAGCGGAAATAACAGGGCGTTAAGGGTGCTATTTTTGTTTTTCTTAAGAATGCTTCTGTCACGACTCTCAGTTCGTTGAATCCACAGAGCAGAGATGCGGTTTCACCAACACCTTTTTGACCCGTAACCTTGCTTGGCTTGTCATCTGATTACGTCTTTAACACCCTCTTGCTGTATTTAGGGAAGGTTATGCATAGAGCATAAGACTTGCTTTTAGATTAGCAAAACAGATTTGAATCAAAAGCTTTTCGTTTTTTGTGACATGAAATATCAAATTACACAACATCTAAGCAGATGTTCTTATTAACTGTTGCTGCTTTGTGGAGTTGTTTTGATGGATGTGAAAGCAGATGTAGTGTGAAAGCAGTAATGTTTTTCTATTACTGGTACTGCTGTGGCTAATTCACACATTTGATCTAAACGTCAATTTCAGTGACACTAAGATCTACTTGCTTTCCTTTTAAGTGCATGCGGTGGTGCTGTTTATAGTTACTAACATCCTGTAATGGAGTGACTAATGAATGATGCAATTAAATGTGTGCAACTCAACATTTCCAGTCCTGTTTGTTTGAAAGAATAAGATCTTGACATGTTTTCTGAATATTTAAAGGTAAAGATTTAAAGGTTAGACCTTTTTTACATGGAGATGGTTTTATTGAGAATTTTCAATTGAAAGATTGATTTGTCATGGTGCAAAGTTTGTATAAATCTCTGAACCGATATACACTGCTTAATAGAGGACGTTAACATTCACCTCTTAGTACTGTGTTCTCCAAAACAAGTTATGTATTAGTTAGTGGTGTCTTCATATCTCTGGCAAATGTTTAGCCTTTCATTTTCAACATTCTTTTCATTGATTTAAGAGTCATGACCTGAAACCCAAAATTCACAAGAGGATTTTCCCCTTCAATTTTGTCCAGGCCTGTTCATTAGTTTGCCTTTTTTAATAGTACTTTTAAACCACAATTCGAAATCTTTATCTGATTTCATTAGTTCATATTATGTATTTTTGGGTTAATCATTACTTTATAGTAATTTCAGTGACCATTCTAGTTTTACTTTCTTCAATTTTGTCCACGTCTGTATAAGAGGTAACAGACATGAAGACATCCTGTAAGGACTGAGACCACAAGCCAACTGCAAACAATTAGTGGAAAATGAAACCCAACTGTGTTGTCGCCTCGTGTTGGATCGCATCACACAGTTAATTTCCCACACTAAGGGCTCTATTTTAACAATCTAGGCGCAATATCTGAAGTACCTGGTGCAAAAGCATTAAGAGCGTGTCCGAATTCACTTTTGCTATTTTAAAGATGGAAAATAACGGTGTGCACCCCGGCGCATGGTCTAACAGGGTTAAGCTTATTCTCCTAATGAGCTCTGGGTGTGTTTTGAGCATAACGTTCATTAAACCAATTAGAGTCTCATCTCGCATTCTCTTTAAGAGTCAGTTGCGTCACGCCATAGTGCATTTGCTATTTACATGGCAGACTTTGTAAGTGGGAAAACTGAACACTTCACTAGCAGGAGAACAGTTAAACAGAGTATCTGCAGCATGAGGATAAAGAATGAGCCTCCTTGGTTCAGCTTCTTTACTTTCTCTTTACTTCTACTCTTTACTTTACTCCTTTACTTTCATGGAGTGTGGAAACGATTTGCTTCAATACTATTTCTAAATTCAGTTCCAATTTCCAGCAAATGAATAAATGGACATGTATTTTCCCCAAGAATTTTCAGTTGAGTTTCTGCACTTGCCTGCTGCTACTGAAGGCACTATCGCTTACGCGGTCATCATCTCGCTTTGCACTTGAACCACTAATTAAATGCTTCAGTTTGTTCAACTGAATTTATTTTAATTACATTACGACATCAATGCTGTAAAGAGAACCTCATAAAAATAAAATTAGTCACATTAACCTTTCACCGGAAGTTTACCGTTGGCTGAAAAACGTGCATAGAGCCCATTTGAAAAATTTTAACATCTTAATAAAAAGAAAAAAAAACTTTAAATACTAATATTAAATAATTAACCATAAATGTAACAATCCCGAACAGTATGCTCAATTTGATGATGTTCACAGACTAGTATTTTTAAAATATGCCGTTTTATCAATGTGTTTACGCCGGATGACTAAACTAACAGCTTCTGGAATTTTCTACTCTATAATGTAATAGGGTGAGTAAGCTACACCTCCACAGAAAATAAATTTCTACTTCTGTTAACAATGCCCTGTTAACATGCAAAACTCTCAGCCAATCAGGGGTGCGTTTCCCAAACAATGACGTAACTAACGGCTGAACTATCATAGTACTATGCATCGTTTGAGAAATAAATGATGTAGGGACGAGTGTTTCCCAAAACCCCTAGTTTCTCTGTCGCAGATCCATCGCTTGAACCACGTTAGTTATAGTGTAAAATGCCCATAATGATGCTCTAAACTGGGCGGAGTAACTACTTCTTAAAAAATTTATTTTTAATTAATTTTTTTCTACACTAACACGCATTTAAAATAAAATCCAATGAAAGTTTTGGTAAAAACATGCACTCATTTTCCATATTAATTGAAATATATGTAAATGGCACATATTGGGCTTGTGTTTGCTTTACTAATGTTCAGTGTTGGGCAGCTTAACTACATTTTTCAGTAGCTTGGCGGTAGCGTCGCTAATTTCTAAATCAAATCGAAGCTATTTTATAAGTCAAGTAGCGCAGTAGCATCCACACAAGCTACATTTACAGATTGCAGATCAATAAGTGACGGCACCGACATTCACGAAGCTGTGAGGCCGGTGTGTAGCCGGTGATAGTAAATCCATATGATGGCTGGAATGAGGAATTCTTGTTCATCCTGTTTTACGGTGTTCGACAAAAAATATTTGGGTGCGTTACTGCCACCTCTGGTTGGATGTCGCCAACCGAAACTTGCTTGATAGAAAGATGACAGGACGATTGAAGGATGAAGCAGGATTCCTCGTGACCATACCTCGAGAAGTACATGTTAAGATGCAATAACTTATTTCTATATATTAATAATGTATGTTAATTTATATATTATTCCAAAAAAATTCCCTTTACTATAGTATTTTAAATGTGTAACACCTGGTTTTATTGTATTTTTTTGTTTTAGCTTGTTATATACTATAATGTGTTTCTGTTTAGTACTGCATATTATTTACAGTAAATAACTGAACTGAACTATCATGCCTCATATGTTTCATTGACAGATTTATTGATCACTGAGTTATGATTGACTTGGATTTAAGTTGCTTCGATTTCAAAATAAAAATGGCAAAAATAGCTTGAATGTAGCTAAGCTACTTTTGCCATGTAGCTTTAAGCTTAGCTTGCTACATTTCCCAGGGGGCAGCTTTTAGTGTAGTTAAGCTACATTTTAAGTAGAGTAGCCAATAGCTTAGCTCACTACACTTTTCAAGAAGCTTGCCCAACACTGCAAATGTTATTGAGAAGTTGAACATTACATATTCTGTTCTAATACATAAAATCACTTACAACAGCTAACACATTCTAATATCATATACAAATCATATCAAAAATAATTAATGAGGCTATTTATTATAAATATATTTACTTTAATAATAATATTAATGATTATTATTAATATTATTATTATTAAGTAGGATATTGTTTATTTATTTATTTTTTGAAAAGTCTACTTTTACAATTTGACACATGCAAACCACAGCAGAAAGTTCTAACCAACAGGCCCATGTCATGTACAGTACAGATACTTAATACATAACCCACTACACATTAAAAGAATTAACGTATGCTATGTTTTTTGTTTTCACAAGCTTTTGGAGACGTAACGTAAATTCTGCTTTTAAATAAAATAAATGAAATAGCTTTCACCATGGGGCTGTGTTCAAAATGACATCAATGTTTTCAAAGTGCACTGCGAAGGGAGCACAATTGTAAACATGAAGATCGCTAAAACTGAACTGTAAAAATAGCTTGATAGCAAATTACACCTAAGAGTGATGACTTTAATGCTTTTTTATTTTTAATAGTTCCAACTTTGAATCTTAGAATGTTCTAAATGAATAGGGCATAGGGGTAAGTGGGAATAGAACACAGCCAGGAACTATGTTTCTAACTACAGCTCCAGAGGTGTAGTTTCAAGTGCTCAAATTTGCGACGCAGTTTGCGAATGTTTGTTGGAGCGATGGATTTGGGAAACAGCAAATCAACAAACTATATTTGTAACGACGGAACTTGCGACCATAGTTTGCTAACGATGGTTTTGGGAAACGCACCCCAGAGCAGCAGGCGTTGACTGAAAATAGGCAATTACTTATCAGTTGATGATGTTTGATGTAAAATCTTGGACCTTACCCCAACCGTGAACAATACAAAATTAAAAACTGAGGTAGTTTGTGACCCCACTCCATTACAATTGACTTCAAAAAAGTGTACAAAAAGTATCTTTGGAAAAATGCATTTGCTGAATGGCTTAATTGGTGATAATTTAGTAATGTTTACCAAGCAGAATGTGTTGAACAAGCAAAACTGCTCTTTTTGTGTCTGCATGTGTGGAGAGGGAACTGCATCCATGTTTCCTTTGCTTTATAAAGCAGTGTTTATAAAGTGTAGGTTTGCTTCTTTATGATTTATAGTATATTATGGCTTAGGGCAAGTGTAAAAAATGTCTCTGGACAAGTGCATTTGCTGAATGACTTAATTGGTGATAATTTAGTAATGTTTACCAAGCGGAATGTGTTGAACAAGCAAAACTGCTCTTTTGTGTCTGCATGTGTGGAGAGGGAACTGCATCCATGTTTCCTTTGCTTTATTAAGCAGTGTTTATTAAGTGTGTGTTTTCTTTTTTGTGTTTTTAGATTATGGCTCAGGGCAAGAGTTCCCCCACCAGTGTCCCGAAGCAGGGGAATAAACTGGACAATATGCTGGGAAGTCTGCAGTCAGACCTCAACCGACTGGGTGTCCAGACTGTTGCCAAAGGCGTTTGTGGAGCTTGCAAAAAACCAATCGCTGGCCAGGTGAGAAATCCTCAGATTATTACATTTATAGCATTATCCAGACCTAGGTCAACAGCAGGGATGTCGAAAGTTGACCCATGGTGACGTTTGATTTGGCCCACCATTCAATCTGAGAAGAGAGTGATGGTGAGGTTTCTCTTTAACTGAGATGGCCATTTCTAATATAACCTTTTTTGATTGTTTGTTTTATTGCTGAGCTACCAAAAAGCAAACCAAGCTTAAATGTTTCAATTAAATGTTGTGAATTTCTAAAATACTGTCAGTCTATGGACAGAGAACAATTACATTTTTTCAATTCAGCTTTATTTGTACAGCGCTTTTACAATGTAGATTGTGTCAAAGCAGCTTCACATAAATGCTCATAGTAACTGGAACAGTGTGGTTCAGTTTTTAGTGTTTAAGTTCAGTTTAGTTCAGTTTAGCTCAGTTCAGTGTGATTTAATCATTACTGAGAGTTCAAACACTGAAGAGCCAATTCATCGATGCGTAGCTCTACCAATCCTGAACCATGCGAGCCAGTGGCGACAACGGAGAGGGAAAAAAACTTCACCTGATGGGAGTGAAGAAAAAAAACCTTGAGAGAACCAGACTCAGTTGGGCACGACCATTTTAATTTCTCCGCTGGCCAAAAGTCTTGTGCAGAGCTTCAGTCACCGCGGTGGAGGCTGGAAGCTGGCCTCAGCGAAGACTCGTATGTCCCTGGAGCGTCACTGGAATCAGTCTCATGTTCTCCACTTCCCATGACCATCAGTGCAGCAGCAGCAGCTCAGGATACGGCCTGGTCCCGGATATGGAAACCTTGGGATCATCTCGTCGCTGGTCTTGGATCCAATCAGTGACTCAGCATAATCTGAGGACCTCGGGATGAGTATCCCCAGGTGAAAAATAGAGAATAAAGAGAATAATTAGCGTAGCCGCTGTTCATAGTGTATATAAGCAAGATGCAGAAGCCTGTGTGGAACCCGCTAGGTGATGGATTGAGTGTATGCTTTACTAAACAGATAGGTCTTTAATCTAGTTTTGAACTGGGAGAGTGTGTCTGAGCCTCGGACGTTATCAGGAAGGCTATTCCAGAGTGTAGGAGCCATGAAAGAGAAGGCTCGACCTCCTTTACTTGATTTTGCTATTCTAGGTACTACCAGAAGCCCTGAATTTTGAGATCTTAAAGAGCGAGTTGGTTTGTAGCGAGACAGAAGGTTGGTTAGATAAACAGGAGCTCGATTATTTAGAGCTTTATAGGTGAGAAGTAATATTTTAAATTCAATACGAAACTTAACAGGCAGCCAGTGTAAGGAGGATAAAATTGCAGAACAATGCAGCGAGACATCAAATCAAGGCAAATCTTGACTTGTGTATTCACCATTAAGCTCTATTCTGTTATGAATGGGATTGTTTTTGCTGATGTATTATAAAAATAAACTGCATTAATTAATATAAAGCAATGATTTGTAGTTATTTTTAGTTATTATTAATTACCCGTCACAACTTTAATTTAACACAGTTTAGTATATTTACCTTTGGCCCATAGGCCTTAATCAAGTTTGCTTTTTGGCCCTTTTAAAGAAGAATTTAAGCATTAAATCTGGTCTACAGGATGTTCGCTGGGTCTTAGACGTCTTAAAATATCTTAATATTTCAGTGATTTTAAGCCTTTTTAGGGCCTAAAATTTAGTTTTTGAAATTTGTGTTGTAGGTCTTGAATCATTTTAGACCTGTCTTAACTTTGCTTTGTCCATGTGAGGCTACTCAATCAGGCCAACATCCATCCAATCAACAATACATCAATACATCCTTATTTTTTATATTTAATATAATACATTTTGTAGTTTTAAACAGCTGTGAGATTTTTTTTTACAGCAAATTCCCCATTAAATTCCCTTATCAGGGAAAGAAAAGTAAAAACAATTGTATGATTCCTCATGATAATAATATGATGACAATACCGGGCTGTTAAAAAAAAAAAAACATCCTTAATGTTTAACCATGCATACGTTTAAAATTGCATTCTTAATGGTTTTAAGGATTTCAAAGAGTCTTCAGTTTGACATGATGAATCCTGCAGCAACTCTGGTCTAAAAATAGACTTGTATTATTGTGATTATACTATGCTCTAGATTTGTTTTAGGCAAGGCAAGTTTATTTATAGCACATTTTATACACAACGGTAATTCAAAGTGCTTTACATAAACAGGAATAAAAGAGACAAGAAAATAAAAATGATTAAAAGAATTAAAAACTGATAAAAACCTTAAAATGAAACAGAATTTTCATTTCAGTGCATGTTTATTACTGTATTCTATTCAATATGAAAAGAAAGTAATCTGGAGGAACTCAAATGACCGCTCTCAACTGGTCCCATGTCAATAAACATTTACGGTCAATAAAACGGGGTTATTTTATTGCCTTATTTTTTTATATCAGTATAAAGTTTATTTATAGCACATTTTAATACACAATGGTAGTTTAAAGTGCTTTACATAAACAGGAATAAAAGACACAAGAAAATAAAAATGATTAAAATAATTAAAAACTGATTAAAACCTTAAAATGTGTTAAAACAGTTTTTAAAGGAATGAAAAAAAGAAATACATAAAAGTGTGATCTGTCGGATGTAGCACTGTGCTCATTCAGTAAAGGCACAGCTAAACAGATGCGTGTTAAGTCTTGACATGAACATGCCTAATGTTGGAGCACGTCTGATCATTTCTGGAAATTGATTCCAGCAGTGGGCTGCGATGTTACTAGCTGAAGGCCGATTCACAATGCTTAGACTGAACTCTTGGAGTTTCTAGTTTATTAGATCCTAATGATCTAAGGAATTTGTTAGGTTTGTATTCAGTGAGCATATCTGTAATGTATTGAGGTCCACACCTGAACCAGCTTATCAAGCTCTTAATAGATATACTCGAAACTCTGTTAAAGTGAGTTGGAGCTAAACTCAGCAGGACGCCGACCCTCCAGAAGCGAATTTGGATATATATATACGTATATGTATATATATGTATATGTGTGTATATTTATATATATGTATATATATGTGTGTGTGTGTGTGTGTATATATATATATTTATTTATATATATAAATGATATTTTTCTAATATATTTTAAAACAAATTCTATGCGTTAAAAACTCACATTATTTCTCATCTACACTGAAAACATTTGAGCTGCTTTATTTCATTATTTAATTGTCTACTCTGTGGTAATTGTGACATACATTTTTTATTTTAAGATATTTCTGCTTTACTGTGCGTTTTTGAGCAAATAAATGTAACCTTGACTTTCAGAAACATTCAATCATAATAAAGATGGCACTTGTTTAAATAGTGGTATGAATGCTGCACATTTTTCTTTGTTATAAGGCTATATTTACTAATCAGGGCACAATGTGCATTTTACAGATGTGCACCGCTGGATTCTAGAACACAGATGCAGCAGCTCATTTGCATAATGTTCAAAACACGCAAAATTAGGTCACAAACGTTGCATGATTCATTTAAATATTCTCCTTTGAAACAGAAATGATTGAATATGTCTCTTTAAAAATCAGTGTCTATGCACTGTATATCTTTAGTAAATTTTGACAGTGGTTATTTTTATTGCTGGAGCAAGCTGTTGGAAAATCTGACTCATAATTTAAACAAAATGTAGCTTGTAAGGCTGATGGAAATGGTGGTGCTATGAATTGTTTAGATTATCATTTTAATTATATTAAATACTTCACACTTTATTTGATGAGGAACCATATATGGTAACTTCATTGACAGAATTTTCATTTCAGTGCACGTTTAAATATATCTGTATTCTATTCAATATGAAAATAAAGTAATCTGGAGGAACTCAAATGACAGCTCTCAACTGGTTCCATGTCAGTAAACATTTGCTGTCAATAAAACGTGGTTATTTTATTGCCTTATTTTTTATATCAGTATAAGTAAAGTTATTTTAAAAGCATTACTAAATGGCTGCGTCCGAAACCGCCTACTACTCAGTAGGTACTGCATTTGAATTTAAATGTACTACTCGGCCGTTAGAAAAGTACGTTCTATACAGTATAAACGTGAAAAGTATGAATGGAATTCGGATGTACTACATCCGCCATTTTGTCATGGTCACGTGACCTGCCTGCGTCATTTGCATCGCTTTACTCCCATTCATGAATTCGCTTGCAGGTTCATTATGGGATAGCGCAGCATGCAATGGGATGCGCACTCTAGAATCTCGCCGGAAGTAGTAAGTCATCCGGGTACTTCTCGCATACTGATTTTCGAATTATATGAATTCGGACATACTACTCGACTCGCATACTGATTTTAGCGTACTATATAGTATGGAAGTATGCGGTTTCGGATGCAGCCTACGACTTTATTATTTTAATTAAATAATCAATAATTATTCTGTTCTGGTTTTCGGCCAATGCATTCAGAATTTTCAGTTTCGGCCCAGAATTTTTGTTTCAGTGCATCTCTAAAAATTACCTTATGCAGTATTAAAAGGAAATGATCTGGAGGAACTCAAATGACAGCTCTCAACTTGTTTTATAAGTAAGCTTTTACTGTCAATAAAACGTTGTTATTTTATTGCCTTATTTTTTTATGTCAGTATAAATTAAGTTGTTTTAAAAGTATTTAAATATTACTGTTGTTTAGGCAATATTAAAAGAAAATAATGTGGACGAACTCAAATGACTGCTCTCAACTTTTACTGTCATGATTATTTAGCCAGCAGCTTGCTCAGCCGGCAGCTAGCTCTCTGCAACTCTCACATGGTCACCCACTGAAGCCAAGCAGGGCTGCGCCTGGTCAGTACCTTGATGGGAGACCACATGGGAAAGCTAGGTTACTGCCGGAAGTGGTGTTAGTGAGGCCAGCAGGGGGTGCTCAACCTGCAGTCTGTGTGGGTCCTAACACCCCACTATAGTGAAGGGGACTCTATACTGCTCAGTGAGCGCCGTCTTTCGGACCAAGACCTTGACTCTTTATCTCTCTAAAAATCCCAGGATGGCCTTCGAAAAAGAGTGGGGGTTGAACTCCGGCCAAACTTGCCTACTGGCCTCTGTCCATCATGGCCATAGTTGGCTTCATCACTCTCCACCAATCAGCTGGTGTCTTGTGTGTGGTCTGGCGCAATATGGCTGCCATCATGTCATCCAGGTGGATTCTACACAATGGTTGTGGATGAGGAGATTACCTTCAATGCGTAAAGCGCTTTGAGTGTCTAGAAAAGCACTATGTAAATGTAAGGAATTATTATTACTATTATTATTATTATTTTATTGTCTTATTTTTTATTATTTATTAATTTATTAATTATTTTAAAAGTATTAAGAAAATAAGCTGAGTAATAAGAAGAAGGAGCTGAGCCCAATCAAAGCCAACAAAGCTCTCGATTTACCGGTCAATCTACGTTCCTACTCTCACTTATGCTCATGATCTTTGGGTCATGACGGAAAGTACAAGATCTCGGATACAAGCACCTGAAATGGGTTTCCTTATAGATAGGGTGAAGAGCTCTGTCGCCTGGGAGGAGCTCTGAGTAGAGCCGCTGCTCCTCCACATCGAGAGAACTCAGTTGAGGTGGCTCGGGCATCTGTTTTGCATGCCTCCTGGATGCCTACTTAGGGAGGTGCTCCAGGCATGTCCCACTAGGAGACGGCCTCAGGGAAGACCTAGGACACGGTGGAGGGACTACTGTATGTCTCGGCTGGTCTTGGAACGCCTCTGGATCTCCTCTAGAGGAGATGGAGGAAGTGTCTGGGGAGAGGGATGTCTGGGATTCTCTCCTCTGAGACTGCTGCTTCCTTAACCAACCCGGGAAAAGTGGAATACAAAATGACTTTCCATTGTTTGATAAAATAATAAATAATTATTACAAAACATCTTCACTTTCAGCTCAGTTTACATTTCGATGCATCTTTAAATGTAACTCAGTGCAGTATAAAAACATGGTAAACTCATAAACAAAAAGTGGTAAACTCAAAAGAGCTCATGCCACTGATAATGAAACTAATGTCTTGTTAAAACACCCAGCGAAGCCTTATTTTCATGATGTATAAATATAAAGCACAAAGCCAGACACTTGTAGTTCCGCTTTATTATTAAAATGAGCTCTTTCGGTTCTTGTGAATGGCAGTTCCCCAAACTGAAAATGACACAAATTTGCTGAAAAGCACACACTGAATACTTTTTCTTTGATTTTTCTTAATTTTATTTCAGGTGGTGACCGCAATGGGTCGGACGTGGCATCCGGAGCATTTTGTGTGCACTCAGTGTCAGGAGGAAATCGGCTCCAGAAATTTCTTTGAGCGGGACGGTCAGCCATACTGTGAAAAGGACTATCACAGCCTCTTCTCTCCTCGCTGTTACTACTGCAGCGGACCCATTCTGGACGTAAGCGTTACACTTTACATCAGCACCTCCAGCGCTCACAGGCCTGTCTGTCTGTCTGTCCGTCCGTCTGTCTTTCTGTCTATGTTGTGAATGTGTGAGAGAGAGAGAGCGAGAGAGAGTGCATTTCTCTCTCTCTCAATTTAAATCAATAATTGCTTTACTGGTGTGACAAATGTACTGCCAAAGCATTTTGCAAGTTTACATTAAAAAGAACATACATATACACTCATTGCTCATTTTATTAGGTACACCTGTCTAACTGCTCGGTAACGCACATTTCTAACCAGCCTATCACATGGCAGCAACTCAATGGATTTAGGGATGTAGACATGGTCAAGACGATCTGCTGCAGTTCAAACTGATAGAAAGGCAACAGTAACTCAAATAAGCACTCGTTACAACCGAGGGCTGCAGAAGAGCATCTCTGAACACACAACACGTCCAACCTTGAGGTGGATGGGCTACAGCAGCATTAGACCACACCAGGTGCCACTCCTGTCAGCTAAAAACAGGAAACTGAGGCTACAATTCATACAGGCTCACTAAAATTGGACAGTAGATGATTGGAGAAACTTTCCCTGATCTGGTGAGTCTCTATTTCTGATGCCACATTCAGATGGTCGGGTCAGAGTTTTGGCATCAACTGCATGAAAGCATGGATCCATCCTGCCTTGTATCAATGGTCCAGGCTGGTGGTGGTGGTGTAATGGTGTGAGGGATATTTTCTTGGCACACATTGGGCCCTTTAGTACCAATTGAGCATCGTGTCAATGCCACAGCCTACCTGAGAATTGTTGCTGACCATGTCCATCCCTTTATGACCACAGTGTACCCATCTTCTGATGGCTACTTCCAGCAGGATAACACCATGTCATAAAGCGAGAATCATCTCAGACTGGTTTCATGAACATAACAATGAGTTAAACTGGACTCAAATGACCTCCACAGTCGTCACCAGAGCTCAATCCAATAGAGCACTTTGGGATGTGGTGAAACGGGAGATTCGCATCATTGACAAATGTGCAACAACTGCGTGATGCTATCATGTCAATATGGAGCAAAATCTCTGAACAATGTTTCCAGTAGCTTGGTGAATCTCTGCCATGAAGTATTAAGGCTGTTCTGAAGACAAAAGACTGTCCAACCCGCTACTAGTAAGGTGTACCTAATAAAGTGGCCGGTGAGTGTTTAAGTATTTCTCATCCATATATTGTGCCACTGGTAAGATACAACCTGTTTTTTTGACCTATTAAGTTCTGTTTTATTGTTTAACTTGGTGAATTCAGGGTAAATGAGCTCAAAATATCTGTGTGTGTCGTCCGTGTGAATGTATGTGTGTATCTCTGATTATTTGTTTGTGTGAGTGTATGTGTGTGCTTGTTTGATGTGATTCATGAGGACTTAAATTTGTATCATTTCATAGCTATGTTTTAATATTGCAATATTGAGGTGGTTTAGTAGCACTTGCCTTGTCTTCTAGTAATTTAAAACCGATTAAAATCATACCTAAGAATTTTTCACATTCAAAATTTCGTAAGAGGGCTGGGTTTATATTACAAGAAAAAATAAAAAAATCACATTACGCCTATGAGAAGTCCTCATAAATCACACATACCAACCTGTGTTTGTGTCAGCGTGGATCCCTGTGTCAGTGAATGTGTATGTTTAAGTGTGTATGTGTGTGTCTCATATGTCAGCACCCAGTCTTACTATAGCCACACACACACTTTACCTCAGGCTTCAGATTTCCTGTAAACATAAACAGTGACTTACATACAGTCTAAATAGATCGTTTGCTGTAGAACTGAACACATGCATGTAGACTGGAGAGCCTGCTGCAGACAGATGAAAATCTGCAAATGTATATGCACGAAAGGATCAAATGTGCAGCTCTGAAGCCATCATGTAACTCTGAGTTCAACTAGAAATGAACATTGTCATTATTTACTCGACCTGTTTGTGCATTAGAAAACAATAAACTACATGAAATCCAACCTGAAGTTTCACACAGAATTTTAAGACATTTTAAGAATCGATTTGATCAAGTAGTTTTAACCAGATGCCGTATTGGGCATACGAGAATTACACATGGTTTTTTGCTCCAAGGTGAAAACCCCACTCAGTGTTTGTGCTGCAAAACTCCTATTACTGTAAAACATATTTTACTGGACTGTCCTGCTTTTACTGATTCCAGAAGGACTTTTTATGAAATGAACTCTTTTAAGGACATTTTTGACAAAGTGGAACCAGAAAAGATTTTAGAATTTTTATCATGTATTAATACAAAAAATCTTATTTAATTTATGTTTTATTTTGTTTGTTGATTTTCAAATTGTATATTTATTGTTGAAAGATTCCTGCCATGAGGATAGCCTTGGTTGCTGACATGGCAAAAAATACATTACATTACTCGACCTGTTTGAGTTCTATTGACCTCCATAGTGTTTGTTTTTCCTTCAATGGAAGTCAGCGGTTGCAGGTTTTCAGCTTTCTATTAAATATCTTCATTTGTGTTTAACGTAATAAAGAAGTCTGTGCCAATAGCCTAGTGGTAAAGTGCACCGATCTATAGCACTAAGGTGCTTACGGCGTCCCAAGTTCGGTTCCTGGCTCAAGATCCTTTGCCGATCCTTCCCCCCTATGTATTCCTGTCTCAACTCCACTGTCCTATTAAATAAAGGTGAAAACCCCTAAAAAATATATGATTATAAACATAAAGAAACTTTGGAACTAGGGCTGCACAATATAATGTTTCAGCCTCGATATCACAGTGTGATCATTCGCAGTAGCCACATCGGAGGATAAGCAATGTTGAGATTTATTATAATTGGTCATTTGCATGTGTTTTTGATGCTTGTGATTGTATAATGATTTTAAAAACATTCAGGTATAAGAAATTGTATCATTTGTGACTTTAACAACGATTAATTTTATTGAATTATTCTTATTTTTATCCTTAAGTTGCTGTACTCAAATACTGTTAGACTCCGGAAACGATAAAACACTTCATCAATTGCATCTTTTTCTTGACTGTATTTATAGATTGTTATGCATGAAAATATTCACAAGGCATGCAAAAACAGAGATGCACTGCAAACAGCACAGACCACAACAAAAAATGTGTTTGAGGACCCCGAAAAGTTTATAGACTGTTTATTAGATTTTATGGAGATGCAACTATTAAACATTACTAAACGCGTGCAGGAAAAATACTCGGTCACTTTATTTTGATGGTCCGTTTGTTTCATTGCATCTACATGTCAACTCATTCTCATTGGAGTAAAAGTAGACAGGGCTGGATTAAAAACACATTGGGCCCAGGGGCTGTAGCAAATCCAAGGGCCCCCTTTTAATTATTTTTACCTCACGAAAGTATATTTTAATAAATTGTTGTTATTGTTATTATTATTAATAATAATTTACTAATTAATATTATCATCTAATTTTACATTAATTTGATTTATATTTAATTATTATATATTTTTTCTATTAAAATAAAATGAATTAATTTAATTAATTAAAATAGGCCTGCAAGTATACAAAATTAATGACATAATGTGAACTTTGAAGTTCAAACAGGTAGCAAAAATCAGCAAAACAAAAAAACATTTGCAATACTTCCTAAATTAGTGCTTTATAATAAACTATAATAAAGGTAAGGGTTTACCTTTAAAAAGTTTCTTTAGAACTTTCGCTGACCATAAATCCCTAATGATAGAATATCGTGGTCACACTTTACCATAAGGTTCATTAGTTAATGTTAATAAATGCATTTACTAACATGAACAAACAATGAACAATACATTTACTACTGTATTTGTTCATGTTAGTTAACGTTAGTTATTGAAAATACAGTAGTTCATTGTTAGTTCATGTTAACTCACGGTGCATTAACTAATGTTAACAAGCATGGATTTGGATGTCAATAATGCATTAGTAAATGTTCAATTATGATTAATAAATGCTGTACATGTGTTGTTCATGATTAGTTCATGTTAGTAAATGCATTAACTAATGAACCTTATTGTAAAGTGTTACCATGTTTCCTGCAGTTTGAAGAGCTATAGCTTAGAAATTTGACTCACTCTTACAAACTATTTAAGTAAATAAATTCCAACTTTCTTTAATAAGTAATGCACTATAAAAATATCCGAAAATTAATAAGGTAATATATAGTCTGTGTTTGTGTTATACATTAAAATTTGAAAGACTATTGGAAGTATAATATTAGAGGCCAGTAGTTACAAGTATTCAACTTTCTTAAAAATATCTCCTTTAGTGTTTCAAAAGTAAGAAACTTAAAACAGGTTTGGGCCAAGCAAAGATTGTGTGAATGAAAATGTTGTGGTCAACTCTGCCTTTAAATAAAACCCTATATTTTAAGTTGCATTTATAACCTTTCAACGCATGTTTACCTAGCCTTTCAGGGACGAAATCCTCTACAGTTTCATTAAAAACATCATCACTTGTGTTTGGAGGATAAAATAAAGTCTTATTGTTCTGTGCTGATATAAGAGTGACTCAGTGATAAGGCTATGTTAGGTTTGAGGTCAGCGAACCAGTCTGAACACTGTTATTAGCGTAGATAAGTTAAAGCATCCTTATTTTATTTATTTATTTATTTATTTATTTATTTATTTATTCTTGCATCAGATATATTGTCTGTTGACAGTCAGCACCAATATTTAATTGCTTCATATTATTACTGTCGTGTTCATAAAAGGGTCCAAGTTAACATTCATTATTAAAAGGTTTGCTTTCTTACTGGTTCAGTTAGACTTACTGTAAAGCATAACCGACTGTGTTTACTTGAGATAAATACTCTGCAATGATGGACACTTTGAGAACTGGATGTGTAGGCCATTTGATTTGTTTGCACACTGTCTCTGTTATATTGTGTGATGAAAGGATTGTGCGGCGCGCACCGCTTTGAGTCCAGCTGTAACCACCACGTGGCCGAGACAGTGCTTGAGTTCATTCAGTATGATTCCGCCTATCCCAGCTTCTATTACTACATGTACAAGTTTATCAGTGATGAAGACTGTTTGAATTTACGACGAATTTACGACGTTCTACGACGAGCTTGGTTAGGATACTATTGACTGGACGGTTCTCGCGGTAGTGCTGAAATAAGGGACTGGCCTGGGAAAATTGGGACATATGATCACCCTTAAGGCTGATTTATACTTCTGCGTCAAACGCCAGCGTATGCTACGGCGCTGACGCATAGCCCTTTGCCGTGGCCATCGCCGTCACTGACGTGCACCTCTCAAAAAATGTAACTACACGTCGCAACAAAGCGTAGCGCAAGCTCTGTGTTTGGTCGGCTTGGTAGCGATGACGAGTCTGGGCAGGACCAAGAGCCGCGCGAATGGCCCGAGCTATTGTTTACAAGTGTGGAGTTCCGTAAAGGAGCTCCGGATGGAAAGTTTTTTTTTGTGTTTACCTCATAGTTAAAGTTGTTGCACATCCGCCGGTTCCTGCCTCAAAATGAGCGAGTTTGAGTCACTTGTACATCCAGGAAGTGTTCAGGAAAAGCAAAAAAGCAGCGAAGAAACTCGACACAGAGGAACATTTACACCTCACTGCCCACTAGCGTTTCGGAAGTGTTAATGTTGACCAACAGAGAAGTATAAATGCACAGCCACGCGCGTTGCATTGTGCCGCATTTGATTGGAGTTAAATATGAAACACTCTATAGTAGGGATGTAACGGTATCAGAATTTCATGGTACGGTAATACCTCTGTATGAATGGCACGGTACGATATTTATTGAGTCATTAACAGGAAAAACAAAACTAACGAAAAGACTCGAAAAAAGTGCCAAAAGTGTTTATTTACCTTAGCACTGAACATATCAATGACATACAAATTAGCCATCTATCTGTAAGTTTCGAAACAGGAACTTCAATTTTTAATTTTAATAACAAAAAACTAAAAAATCATATAAAAAAATAAAGTTTCAATTTAGTATTGTTGAAAACTCATCACATTAAACATTTAATCACTCACTCACTTAGATAGAGATGGGTTTTAAGGAAAATTATCATATAAATATAATCTGGTAAAAGCTGGGATCTCTGGGCATTTACAATGTCCCCTGCAACAGAAAAAAAAAACTCTCATTTGGGACTAAAGTTTCTGGGACAGAGAGATATGATTTAGCCAAGGTTGACAGCAGTGGGGAACGTTGTGCATTGTCTTTCCACCACTTGAGAGGACAAGCCATGAGTGAGATAGAGGTCTCTTTGCGGTACAAGTCAATGTCTGCATCAATCTAACAAGTGTGCTGTGTTCTGCAGTCCCCATGACTGTTTTTAGTCGTATTCCCCGACTTATATTTCACCACAGTCTGGCAGTGCCTGCATACCGTTTTTTTCTTTGTCTGTCACCTTTTCTCCTTTTTCGTATCTTTAAAAAAAAAAACTAAATACTTCCACACACCCGATTTAAAACCCGCTTTAGGTTTGATCATTTCCAGCTCTTTTTCTTCCCCGCTACTAGCAACACACTCCATTTGCGCATTACTGGATCTGTAGTGACAACAGACCGCAAAGGATGATGGCCACGCCTAGGCTGATGGGAATTGTAGTTCCCGCTACCTCCCGTTCGCTTCATTCGCCTGAGCAAACTTTTCTCAGAAATAAAGTTTTGAGTCATGCGCCTACGGTAATATTGAAAAAAATTACTATTGCAGTATGACGGTATTTACAATATTGTTACATCCCTACTCTATGATCAGTCAATGCATGATCACAGGGATAACCAATGATTATTGGCTAGAAATTGCAACATTAGTGGGAAAGGAGGAACGTTTTTGTTAAAAAGTTTGGAAAAACCTGAGGGATAAGTTTAAGGCCAAAGGAGGACATAGCAAAAGTGGAGACGCAGTACACAATTACAAAATATCTTTAGCCACCATTTATAGGTTTTACAGTAATGTGTATATTACAGTTTTGAATTTAAAACAATTTAATAGTCACAAAACTATAATTAACAAACAAAAGATTTCTTTGATAACTGGAAAAGAATATTTGAGCCTATCGCTTTACAATATACTGATGCCCTGTTTTTTAGGCTTTATTGGTGATAATAGTCAGGAATGTTGGTCCATTATTGCCTTTTGAGCATAAGAAGAGGACCGAAAGTGTGAATTGTGAGTGTGAATTGTGAAGCGGGCTAAAAAAAAAAAGTAGTTTGTAGTCTGTAGTTTTTAGTAAGTGTAAGTTTTTTTTTTTTTTTTCATAATAAAAATATATTTGTAGAGCAACCCATGTTCTGTAGTTAATAATATTTTAATAAACTTTATTATTAAAATATTAGTAAAACTGTCCAAGATAGGAACAAAAGCAAGTAATGCATCAAAGTTTGAATTAAAAAAATCTTGAATGGTTATAAAAATCTTTTTAATCATTAAAATAATTAATAAAAAGAGTTGGTTTAAAAATCTTGAATGATTTTAATGATATGATGTAGTTCCACATACGCGGCGCTAGGAAAAAGTCTGAATTAGGCTTTAGGGTTAGGGTGAGTTGACATGAACTTGGAAGTTTTTTTTATAGTCAGTTAAATGTCTGTTGAAGGAGCAGTATCAGCAGATATTAAGCAGACAGTCTACTAATACTCAAATGGACCATCAGAATAAAGTGTTACCAAATACTCACAACACATGGCAAATAGAGAAACACACTGCAAGTAGTACAGACAACAATGAAAATATGTCAGGGACCCCAAAAAACGTATAGATTGTTTATTAGATTTTATGGAGATGCACTCCCACTGCAGAGTCATCCCAATTGATTTAACATTAGAAATTCTTTCCAAACAGAGATATTAAATCATCAGGTGACATTGAGATTCATATCGCAATATATATATATCGCAAAATAAAAATATTGCAATGTTCGATTTTTCCAATTGGGCAGCCCTGTTTGGAACCACTTATAGGTGATTTTAAAGGGGTTAAATATTCATTTTTTAGGTTAACCATCACTTTAACTGATAAAACCTTACTGTAAATACAGTAGTGATGGTGAAATGAAGCTTTCTGAACAGTGAACCGTTCAACTCAATTGTATTGGAAAAAGATTCATTACTCAAAGCTTTCCAAATCAGAGTTTAATGAGGACCTCTGCTGGTTAAAGTGTGGCAAAGCACTGTGTTGCAATGTTCACACCAAGCACCTCATTCAACATGCAGTAATACAACAATAGTAATGTAAACAATTCACCCAATTACTGTAGTATTTTACATGTAAGGTATGTCGAATTACACCACCGATGACTCTAGTAAAATCCAAAGTATTCAAAATCATTTACGTTTATTGTATTTCAACCGGTTTTACACCAACCCACTCATTCCGAGCAGGGATCGAACTGACGATTCCTGCATGGAAGGCAAATGCTCTGAGGACGCCATGAGAGTGAGGCTTTTCTGCTGCATTCACCAGCTGGCGTCTGTTACACACTATACTACAATATGCAGTGGCCTTCATTGAAAATAGTTGTAAATAATGCACGTTAGCATGTTTCAAAACCTTTTTACTATACATTACTATAGTATTTTTGCTGAAATACTGGTGTGTGGGACCAGTGCAGTGCTTTGAAACAGTAGAAATGTATGTAATCGATGCCTAATCTCTCGCTATACACTTTACTAGCCCATGAGGGTGTTTAAACCTTTGAGTCAAAATTCGTAGCAGTCACACGTGTATAGGTGAAAATGAAGCTTCGGACGTCACTGATCACATGATTATGACAAAATGAATCAAGCTCCGGTACACTGCTTCACTGCGAGATGCATCATTTTTTGATGCATCGGCACACATCACTACTGTAAACGATCACCCAATTACTACTAACTCCAATAATTACTACGGTCTTGTTTTTATCTTAAATTTGTGTTCTGTTATTGATATTAAATTGTGTGTTTTGTTCATGTTACTCGTATTTTAATTCTTCATCCGCTCTTCTTTGGTCCTGCAGAAAGTGGTGACCGCATTAGACAAAACTTGGCACCCGGAGCATTTCTTCTGCGCCCAGTGCGGGTCATTCTTCGGGCCTGAGGGTAAGAGCATCTTTCTCAGCCTCTTCTCTCCAGATGCTGTTTCCTTTTTTTCTGCTTTATTCCTTTAAAAGGATTTCAGCCATTGGCAACCATTTGTCTCTTTGTTCTTCTTTTTCCCGGCAGGTTTTCATGAGAAGGAGGGAAAGGCGTACTGTAGAAAGGATTACTTTGACATGTTCGCCCCTAAATGTGGCGGCTGTGCTCGTGCCATCCTGGAAAACTACATCTCTGCCCTCAACTCTCTCTGGCATCCTGAGTGTTTTGTCTGCAGGGTGAGTATGTGGGAATTTCCCATGGGCAGATGCAACAATGATTCACTCACCGGCCACTTTATTAGGTACGCCTGCCTAACTGCTTGTTAGCGCAAATTTGTAATCAGCCAATCACATGGCAGCGACTCAATGCATTTAGGCAGGTAGACCTTGTTGAATCCTATGCCATGAAGGATTAAGGCAGTTCTAAAGGCAAAAAAAGGGTCCAACCCAGTACTAGTAAGTGTACCTAATAAAGTGGCCAGTGACTGTACGCATATAGATAATGTATAACCCATTGGAAGTGAATGAGACCAGAAGTCTCAAGCCAAAAAAAGTTTCCAGTGGCTGCACCCACTCATACGTCAAGAATAAAGTCAATAGCAGCATTATGTATGGTCATTTTTACATGTGCTATAAAACATTGCATTGTATTGAATCCTATTGCCATTGCATTGCATCGTATTGCATTACATTGTAATGTATCATTTGAAATGTCTGATCGTTTTGTTTGGTCTCTCTCTTCTGCTCCACAGGAGTGTTTCACTCCATTTGTCAACGGCAGTTTCTTCGAGCATGAAGGGCAGCCGTACTGCGAGGCTCATTATCACGAGAGACGCGGCTCGCTCTGCTCCGGCTGTCAGAAACCCATCACCGGCCGCTGCATCACCGCCATGGGCAAGAAGTTCCACCCCGAGCATTTCGTCTGCGCCTTCTGCCTTAAACAGCTCAACAAGGGCACATTCAAAGAGCAGAACGACAAGCCCTACTGCCAAAGCTGCTTCGTCAAGCTCTTCAGCTAGAGTGCTGATGTGTGTTTAAACACACCCCATACGAGAGAGAGCAAATAGCGTCACCTTGTGGCGGTAGTGAGCATTACACCAGCTTGTCCTTGTGCCAAAACACTGTCTGACTAAGTGTAGATCTTCAGGGAAGCATTAGGATTTTGTTAACAGCATTTTTTCATCCAAAAAAAGCCCGCTTCTCCTGGATCCAGCCTAAATTTGATCCTTAAATTGCGTATTTTAGATATTATCGACTGCATCTGACAAATCGAGATCTATTTTTGTACTTGTTTTACACACAAACACACACAGCTGAACTTGAATACATGTATGCACACATCTCTTTGCACATTTCTAGTTTTATTTTCTCGCTGATTTTGTTTTAGCTTCTTCCTCGGCTGTATCATGTCTTTTTTCTCTTAAAGGTGCAATAATATCAACTGCTTGGCATCATTTTAGAGTACTTTTGGTTCTCTGAGAGTCTGGTCAGCTCTGATTTTCGCATTATAAAGTGCGCTCTTTCACTTTTAATGTCGATGTTTGTTTCTTTTTTTATATTTGCTGGGTGGTTTATGTTTGTTCTGGATGGCTGAAGTGCTTTGCGCTTTCATCCTGATGTCTTCATAAGAGTTTGACCGTCACTTCTGCTGTTTTCATACATGTTTTATTATTACAAAAAGCCTTCTTGGAGATGCCGGTCTTCCTCATGTGGCGCTCCACAATGTGCCTATTGCCACCAGGCATATTTCGCATTTTAATTATGGTTATTTTTGTCTTAATGCCTGAGGTTGATACACATTTCCCCCTTTTCCACTTATTTGATTTCCTACTGTATGCAAGTAAATATATTAAAGTCTTATGAATGATAGTTGATGGCGACTTTGATTTGTTCAGTAATTTAAAGATTTTCCTCTTTTTCAAGGTGATGTCATATTTTATTCAGAATTGACTGATGACATTCACATTGTATTTAAAACCTGGGTTCTAGATGGACTTTGCAATGCATTGAATAAATACCAGGCTCTAAAAGATGCAAGCGTCATTGGTTTATTTGCTTGAATGATTTTAGAAACCTAATTCTTTCATTCCTGTTTAACATAAAGATTTTTTTCCAACACATTTCTAAACATAATAGTTTTAATAACTCAGCTTTAATCATATATATAGTATATATGCACATATATACAACAGTTCTGTCTGGTTCTCAAATCTGATTGGCTGATAGCCGTGATATATTTAAGTAATATCAGCACCCGTACAGCCTCTTTACCTTTTGTGTATTACTCCGCCAACATACAGGCAGTAAAAAGCAGACACTACAGATCTAAAGTTTAAAAGATGAACGCACAGCTGTTTTACTGTCAGCTTATGATTTGAATCCAACGTGGAAGAAAGTAGTTCCTCATACAAAAGGGTTTTTGAGACTCTCCATGTTTGATTTTGTTTTTATATTCACAATTATGCCATCAAACTGTTGTATAAACGCAAAATCACACTCGTAGCAGTGTGATATGGCTGTATATCAACTCTGGTGGGGGCACCATCACACACCTCCCACCAGTGCCGATATACAGCCCTATCGCACTGCTACGAGTGTGATATTGGTCATATATATATATATATATATATATATATATATAAGGTGTGTGATGGATTACGGTTGATACGTGATTCATACAGATCACAACCCACCGTTCAGAACACACGTGACCCGCGGATTAATACTTTTTTTTTTACGCTTGGATTAATCCTAAATTTGTAACGATCGCAGAGAGATCACCTCTCACCTCATTTAAATCACATGTATGAAAGCATTTAGGCTTTCCTGTAAAATATAATGACGACAGAAGGAGTTGTGGTAGGTTATTTGGGATGTGGTGGGTTTCTTAGGTTATTAAAGGTGTTTTCTGTCACTACTTGTTTAGCCTGCATTAATGCGTTCAGTGTGAGCTGCGCGATTAATCATTAAAAGATCGGGATCTCAACACCCACGCAACATAAATTATAAATGACGGTGATTTGCATATGTTGATTAATCTTTCCAATCGCTGCATTCAAATCTGTGTTTGAAAAATGCAAAAATCAAGAAAGAGACTCAGTCTGTAGTCTTTTGAGATAGTTATGAAGTCACAAACAGTCAAATAACACAGAAGTACTGGGAGTACTTACATTATTATACTGGCAGTATTTACATTATTTAACCAAAAGGTGGCGACAACCAGCCATCAAAATTATGCCACTGAATAATTCTTCAAAAATGATGCATCTAGCAATGAAACATGAAGTTTTATGAGTGAATTGCTGAATCATTGATTGAAGATGAGAATAAAAATACATCTGGGTTGTGCAAATTATAATGTTAAATTTCTACATTTGGGCTGCATCCGAAACCGCCTACTGCAGTAGGTACTGCATTTGAATTTAGATGTACCATTCGGCTGTTGGAAAAGTTCGTTCTATACAGTATGAATGGAATTCGGATGTACTATGTCCGCCATTTTGTCATGGTCACTTGACCTACCTGCGTCAGTTGCGTCACTTCACTCCCATTCATGAATTTTCTGACGGGGCATCATGGGATAGCGCAGCATGTATGGGATGCGCACTTCAGAATCTCACCAGAAGTAGTAAATCATCCGGGTACTTCTCGCATACTGATTTTCGAATTCTATGAATTTGGACATACTACTCGACTCGCATACTGATTTTAGCGTACTGTATAGTATAGAGTTATCAGCAACAATAGTAGTAACAGTTAATTTTTTACAGTACTGAATATTTTACAATTTATGTTTATTCAGCTGATTATTTCTTCATTTTATGTGTCTTGCAGTACTGTTTTTGTAATAAATTTAAAGCAAATTACATTTGTCTCCTTTTTAGCTGATCCGAAAAATGGTCCGATCCGTGACTAAAAAAAAACAATGTGATCCGAACCATGAGATTTGTGACTGCACTATACACCACAATATAATATATAGTTATATTTATCTTATTTTTTTTCAAAAGTATCAAATATTTTAGACTAAAACTCTCAATCATGTGTTTTTGCTATAATCATATGTCACAGATTTCTCTTAAATTAATGATTAAGCTCATTTCAAGTTAGCTAAAGTCGGAGTATTGGCATGGACGGAGGGGACGTGTCCCCACCGATATTCATCAATTACTGAAATGTCCCTACCAATAATTAAATCGATTTCAAAATAATAAAACAATGCTCCAACAACCCTTAGTAATAGTAACCCACACATGCAAAAACTTAAGTTCGCTACGAGTTCACCGTAATGCTATTAACCAAGGCTGTGCAATTTATCGAAATTCGATAATCGAATTTAGCCTCCATGATTATGAGAAACTACAATCGGGATAAAACACTCAAATTGCATCACGCACCTCTCTAAATTTCTCTACATTCACACCCCCTCAAAGCCCGACTGCAGTAAAATCATGTAAATTGACTTTTGCAGCATGGGATGTAATTGCTATTTGTATTAGTAAGTGTTTATTTTATAATATTAAGTACTTTATTAATGTTTTATTCATCTTCTGCGAAACAGAATTTGTGCTGTTTAATGCAAAGTATGGATGTCCCCAATAATGTTAAGAGAAAATCTACGCCCTTGGCTTAAGTGTTACAAAATTCATATCTTATTTTAAAAGATAAATGTCAGGCAATTATTTCGAAACAATATTTTTTGAATCATTATTGCTGACTGAGCTAAATGTAACACGAGGTCACTAAACAGCATTTAACTTCAGTTTTCTCAGACAGTTAATAAAACAGGTCAATGACCCTGTGAATAAATCACTAGTTATGAAATAACAGATTTAACCGATTTTGTGAATGCAAAACCATTTAATCAGTAAAAGCATGGCATAAATTACCGTCTATATGCTGATGACTCTCAAATCTACTTCCCTATAAAATCTAGGGATCAATCCTCCCTTCAGGCTTTGCTGAATTGTTTGGCTGATGTGAAGTGTTGGTTGGCAAATAACTTTCTCTAACTGAATGAAAATAAGTGTGAATTCATTGTTTTTGGCCAAAAAGGTTCAGATTCTAATGGCAATCTGTCATTGCTTCCTGGGAAAATACATTCCTCTGTAAAGAGTCTTGGTGTCATCTTTGACTCTAAGCTAAAATTTGATCGGCAAATTAATGCGGTTGTCAAAAATATTTTTTTCTATTTTAGATATATTGCCAAGCTGAAGTCTGTCCTCTCTTTCAGTGATTTGGAGAAAGTTGTTCATGCTTTTATTTCTTCTCGTCTGGACTATTGCAACGCATTGTATCTGGGTGTGAGTCAGCTAGGCCTCTCTCTCGCGACTGCAGCTAGTCCAGAACGCACAAAAAAACGAGAGCACATTACACCTGTACTTGTTTCTCTGCACTGGCTGCCAATCCAGTTTAGAATTCAGTACAAAGTTCTGTTGTATGTTTATAAATCCCTCCATGGCCTGGCCCCTGAGTATATTTCTGAGCTAATTATTATGCACCAACCTGTGAGATCTCTTCGCTCTATGGATCGTCTCTATTTGCAAGTTCCTAGATCACGCTTAAAATGTCGAGGTGATAGAGCTTTCTTGGTAGCAGCTCCAACGATCTCCCACTTTCTTTAAGAAAAGCTCAAACTTTTGAGTCTTTTCAGAGGTCACTTTTAATCATGTGATGTGAATTTATGTTTTTGGTTTTATGTATATTTTACATGCGTTTTATGTGTTTTATGTACAGCACTTTGGTAATCATTTTGATTTGTGAAAGTGCTATAGAAATAAAGTGAGTTGAGTAATAGTCAGGATTCCAGTTATGCTTACATTGGATATGCTCACATATTGGATATGCCATTCACGCTACTCCAAATCAAACATTTCGATTTTTTTCCAGTTAACCAGCATACAGTGTCTGTAGGCTATTATATCAAATGTTTAATTTCGATTTTTATTTTACATTTAAGAAAGCTGGGCTGTTTGCATTCATCAAAACATTTAGCGATTGGCTAATTATTTAAAGCGCGTGCTTGAGGCACGTGCACGTTTTTGACAGGAATGGCGGGAGTTTCAGATACGCAGCTGAGGTGAGTCTTCACACGACAAATATGTACTTTTCTTCGGGAAAATATTAGTGTTACTTTATTAATATCATTAAATCATGATTGCGATTAAAGGCAGTCGCGCTAAAAATAAATTAAAGCGAGAGGCGAGTAAATTTTAGGCTAACAGCGTTGCGAAAAAAACTGACACAAGCTAGCCTCTTTTTAAAGGGATTGAGGTAAAGTTGGTTTTATATTCGCACATTCGTTCATTTTAAGGTCCCTAGTTATATTGTTTACCACGCTAATTGAAATATTCGGTCTGAAATCGGATTTAAGTATGACCAAAACAATTAGCACTATTTAACTGACTGTGAACAGTTGTTGGCTGCTAAAGTGACTTGTGACCAAAGCTAATATGCTAATATGACTTCCCTGTTTAGATTGTGCATATAATACCTTTCTGAAATTAAATTATTACGGAGAATATGCGAATATAGAAACCAGTTTATCTTAATCTTTTTTTTTTTTTTTTGTAATTCAAGTTTTATATATATTTTTTCTTTCATAACTAAAACGTACTACAAATATATACAGTTAAAGTCAGAATTATTTGCCCCCTTGTTAAATTTTTCCCCAATTTCTGTTTAACGGGAATATTTTTTTTCAACACATTTGTAAACATAATAGTTTAATAACTTATTTCTAATAACTGATTTATTTTATCTTTGCCTTGATGTTAGTAAATTATATTTGACTAGATATTTTTCAAGACACTTCTATACAGCTTAAAGTGACATTTAAAGGCTTAACTTCGTTAATTAGATTCACTAGGCAGGTTAGGGTAATTTGGTAAGTTA